AGAATCGCAAGTACATTATTATTATTATTGATAATAATAATAAAATATAATTTAATGTTATATAATGAATTAACATTGGAACGGAAGAGTTTAACCAATTATTATTAATAATATAATATAATATAATATAATATAATATAATATAATATAATATAATATAATATAATGAATTAACATTGGAACAGAAGAGTTTAACAGATTAGAACGAAGTAGAGAGTGGTAAGGATGGTCTTAAATTGGGTGAGAAGCAGGCAAGAATCCAGATGTAAAACTGAAGTTAATATTTATGGCCAAGATGCTAAAAAGCAGATGCCCAGAATATACTTTTAACGAAATGGCCCAAGTTTCCAAACTACTGACATTCCAACAAGTCCTATGGGAGTGGGGTGTATAGGAGCTGCTGGATATTTTGTTACTTGATAGTTTTAGAGGGTTGAGAGTGAGACTAATGACCAGTAAGACTATTCTGGTCATGAGTTGAAAGCTCTATTGAGATACACTATAGCAATGTCTTACTTACATCAACAAGGACAGTGCTCGCGTAGTCTTGGATTCGAAGGAAAACAGATCTGTTGGCCAGGCGTCGCTGCTCCTTTGGGGACTTTCATTGATGTAGTTCTTTCAGAGTTGAGCTTGGAGAAGTCTGACTTCACACAAATTGACCCCAGATTATATACCCAATACAGGTTTTCTGTACATGGTTACATTTTTGTGCTGAACCAACTGCCATTTATTTCCTTACATTATAAGGACGCATCAGCATTATTGACAGTACGTGCTCACTACATCACACAATCCTACTTCCATCATGTTACTACACATGTGGTATTATGGCTTCTAGTTACGTCAAACTAAGCTGGGCTGGAACAAAGTTATGTTGCATGTATGGCCTGTACCTTTGAATCTATATTTCAGTGTTCATGGGCCAGATTTTCAAAGGTGTTTCAGGAAATACTACGTAGCATGTTTTCAAAGTGCCTGATCAGATTAGGTACTGAACTGTCATGATTTTACCTCCTTTGAAAAACATTGCCATCAGCCCATATTTAGTCATCTAAATTTAGGCTCCCATTTCCGAAAATTTCATTGCATGTAGTAATGCCCAGACCTGCTCTGGTTCTGTTTGCTTTGAGCCGTCCTCATAGCTGAAGGTTATCTTGGTGGCAGAAACACCCTGGTTTTTCTGTAGCAACAGGCCCTTCCATAGCCAGTGGGTAAGAGCGGGAATTATTCTTGAGTTAACAAACAAAATGGAGTGGTTAAATAAATGTGCATCCCTTCCCACATTCTCCTATGCAAGGGTATGAGCAAAGATGGATGTTCCCTACAGAATTCCTTCCTGCCTCCGAAGCACGGATAATGCCTTGTTGACATCCTGCTTATTTCAGATGCCGAGTAATGAATGAATACATCTGCTTCCCTTTCAGGAAAAGTATTCCCCGGACAGCTCACAGTGAATATAGTCTACAACAGTGAAATGCAAAATGTTAACTCGCCCAGTTACAGACGGCTGTACCAAGCCATCGAAAATTTTGTGAGTCACTTTTTGATACATGTCATCTAAAGATCTGTTTTTCTGAATGAGAGGCTTGCAGAAAGATTCCTTGCCACAATCCAAGTGGAGTCCATGTCTGTTATAAATTACACCTCCCTTCACCTTCCCACCTCCCCAAAGCCTATGATAACCCATCAGTTTAGGCCCTGCTCCTCTAGAGCCCAATTCTGCCCTCAGCCATGCACACCTCCACGTCGTACTGAAGTCAGCAAAAGTTGCATGCATGCATTGAGATCAGAATGATGATTTTATAGAGGTCCCCCGCAAGAGGAGACCGAGGGGGGATCTTCTGGCTGCCTACAACCTTATCAGGGGCCACCAGCAGGGACTCGGGGAAAGTCTGTTCACCAGGGTCCCCCTTGGAGTCACCAGGAACAATGGCCACAAGCTGTGGGAGGATAGGTTTAGGTTAGATATTAGGAAGAACGACTTCACTGTAAGGGTGGCCAGAGCCTGGAATAGGCTCCCCGGAGAGGTGGTGCTCTTACCTTCCCTGGAGATCTTCAGGAGGAGACTGGATAGGCGCCTGGCTGGGGTCTTATGACCCCTCCCACCCCTAGTGTCATTCCTGCCCATGGCGGGGCGTCGGACTCGGTGATCTGTCTAGGTCCCTTCCCACTCAGTGATTCTGTGATTCTAGGTGCTTCTATTGTGGGGAAGTCACCAAGAACTTAATACAAATGTGACAATTTTCTATAGTTTTTTCCCCCCTAAATTTCCTCTAGAATTGAATTATGAATTAGAACGATGCCTCTGCAAATTCTAGAGGCAGAATCCATTCAATTTGTAGACTAGTTTCAACGAAGAACCACTTGGGCGGGTGCTGTAGATGTGGAGAGGGGAGGACCTTTTGGGTTGAGGGCTGGAGGAGGGACAGGAACCCTGGGTGGACACCAGGGAGGGTTGAAAGAGGGAAAGCTGCCAGCTTGGAGAGGGTTAATGCAGGCAACAATAGGAGGAAAAATGTTCATCCCCTCACACTTTCCACTGAACCTCTCTTCTGAACGGGCTGTTAATTGAAAAGTGCTCCATTAACCAGCTCGCTTGTATGTGCTGTCTTGGCAATGTTGAAGTTCTTGTATTCTGGCAACCTGTACCCTAAGCCTGCAGTACCTGTGTGCATTTGAAGTCTTTTGGCTTGATCCTGCTTTGATCGCTGAGGACAGCTGCTGCTTACTGTGGGTTGAAACGTCTCCACCTCCCTCTAGATCAAAGTGTGTCTTGTTTGCGTTGTGCTAAAGTGGTTTGGCAGAGCTACTGCTACAGACTCTTGTCACCTGCTTACTTAGCAGCGAGGACAATGCTGTTCATACTGTACCCTACCTCCACCCTGTCTGATTCAGCCCCTTGAACGTTGGACCCCAAAGATGACACTTTGTATTGTCAGGGAAACGGGCCCATGGTTTTATAAGGGTGGTTGAGGCCTCCCTCACCCTTTTCAAGGGGTTTGGGGAAGATCTGTGTGCAGGGGCGTCCCTCTAAGTGTGGGGCATGGGACAGCAGTGTTCCTCATTGTGTCTGTAAGAATCTGGCCTTGGCCAAAGCTTCTTGGAAGTTGGTAGGAGTTTTGCCTGGGCATGAAGTGGCAGATATAAGGCCCTTATTTGGCTTTGATAGAGATGACACTGCCTGCATCAACATTTCTCTCTAATCTGAGCTACTTTCTTACCTATGTATAATTCAAACTCACTTTATCTTTTATAGTTCCAAAAAGTTTTCTCTGACCAAACAGACTATGGACAGACAGTAATCAAGACTGTGAGGTAAGTTTGGTAACTTGGTTATTATCTGAAATGTGTAGGATCTTTTTTTGTGAATATACTACTTGCAGCTTACCGTGTTCTCCTGGCTGACCCAGGCTTAGGGCACAACCAGTAGTGTAACTAGAGGTGGGGAACGAGCCGTTCAGGCACTCCCACCCCACTTCTTTTCGACATCTCCGACCAAGAGGCAAAGTTTGCAAGTAATGCTTCTGCAATCAGCTATTGTTTAACCAGCTCAAATTTGGGAGATTAAGTCAACTCAGGTAAACAGGCGTTCAGACACATGGACAGTTCTTATCACATTTAGAAAGTGTTGGAAATACACACGTAGCATACACGCGCTCCTTGAGCCGGACCATGTAGATACACTAGTGACTTTGATGCAGGGCCAGATTCTGTGTTGAAGAACGTGCTATTCCACGCAGCATCTCATTGATAAAAACCAATAGAAGAGAAGATACAAGTGGAATAAGAGTCTGTTCAGCAGGAAAATGGATATCTGAATCAGATCCGTAGCAAGGTCACTGTGGTATTCAGCCTCACTACATAGAAAAAATAATTTGGGGCATACTTCAGTTGTACATACATAGGTATATTATGTACGCAGGGTGCACACACAACTGCAGTGACCCATTGTACACAAACTGGGTGGATGATTGTGTGCCCATATTATTTGACAAATATGGCTCCAGAGGGTAATAACAGAATTTAAATGGCCCAAGAGACTGATGGTAGGGTAGACAATCTTGCATATGGGGTGACCCATTTGTGAGAGATCCAGGCTGTTACTAGTGCCCAGAAGTCAGAGAGGTTGTGATGTCAGTTTAATTCCTAGTGCCCAATCCACACAAGCCTGTTCACCTTGTTTTGCATTGACTGGCTCCTTCGCTGGCGGGCTGAACAAACAGACAAATTAATGGACTTTGGCATGTATTGGATGTGACTGCAGGGGTAGAAATAGGTGAGAGTGCTTTAGATTAGCCAGGTCCGGTCCCACCTGAGTTCAGCCAACAAGCAGGGTAACTTTGTTGTCACCTTACTTGATGCTGGTGCTGCGAGACTGCCGCCAGCACCTGCGTTAGCTTGTTTAGTTAGTCCAGGTATCTCTGAATTAACCTGTTATCACATCTCTGCATTGCAGGCATCCCCCAAGATGCCTTTATATCCAAAGTCAGTGCTGAGGCACACCACAGAGTGCTGTGTGTTTGCATGGGGGTGAGGTGGAGGGAAAATCTTTTGTCCCTGTCCGGGGGATGCCTCTTTGATCTAAAAACAATTCAGATAAATTTGGATTACCTGGGACTTCTAAAGTAGCCCTGTTTATTTTTTCAGTGGACTCCCTTCAGCTAGGAAAAGGAGTACAGGTCAGACTGACGTGCAGTTTATGAACATCTTTGGAGTGAAGACAACTTTATCCAATGAAACGGTTGAAGAGCTTATAAAAAATGTAACTGATGACGGTCTTATTAATTCTAAGAGCTACAAGCGTAAGTACAGCACTAAGAATAATGGGTAGGATTTTCCAGGAAGGATAGAGTATGCGGATAGATGAAGCTCTGAGACAAGTAATCCTCAGTGATAATGATGAATTATCTAACTTCCCTTTCTTACTTTGAAAAGCATTTGTTGTAATTCTTTTTTCTCCTTGAGACCGTGGTGATATATATTTGTTATATGGGAAAAGATAGAAAATATATTTTTTGAAGTAGGAAATGTCATGCTTTTTCCATATAGTAAATGTTAGGTGGCCAACAGGAATATCCACAGTTACATTAGACTGGCCAACAATGGAAGAAATATAGTTTTATAGTTGTTCGGGTCAGAAGGGACCTGAGCAGATCATCAAGTCCAACCCCCTGCCATGGGCAGGAATGAATGCTGGGGTCAAACGACCCCAGCTAGGTGTCTATCTAGCCTCCTTTTGAAGACCCCCAAGGTAGGAGCCAGCACCACTTCCCTTGGAAGTTGGTTCCAGATCCTAGCCACCCTGACTATGAAGTAGCGCCTCCTGATATCCAACCTGAGCCTACTTTCAGCGTCACGTGTATTCAGCATTCAAACGTTTGTATGCTTCCAAGAATAAGCCATCCACTTACTCCAAAATTAGAGGGAATCTTTCCTTATCACCTGGTTATTCCATCGTTTTCCAATATGGGGTCTCTTGCCCCTTTGAGGAAGTATTTGATACTGGCTACATTTTGGCAAGACTCTGTTGATGAAAATGCTTTCTGGGGTCAGAATGGATTAGACAAATGTTTGAGAACTGTTTTTTCTGAAGTGAGACCTCAGTGACCAGTTGTCTCAGTGATCTAGTGCAAGTCTTACATTGCTAAAAACCCATTCATACTTGAAGAAAAAAGTACTAATGCTTACAACTAAACAACTTGCTCTAGACTTTGTAGATGCTCTTCTTTATTCTGCAGGAATAGTTATTTGAAAGTCATCCAAAGCTGTGTCAATAAAAACAATTTCACATTTTCAAGTCAAAACCATGAATTTTTGCCTATATAGTTATCATCAAAGGTGTTCAGGTGATTTGAGTAGCGCCAGCAAAAGCATAACTTGCATCATTTTTATGATGCAGTTTGTTTATAGGAACCAAGGCGTTGAGACTACCCTGAGCACCACGTGTCTTGGGCCTTCACATAACCTTGTAAGGAAGTGGTAGGATTAGAACAGGGCTGTCCAACTTCAGCACAGCTTGGGACACACACTGCACCAGCCATGCTCATGGGGTAAAACTGGAGAGGTAGAGGGATCCCCCTTCCCCACTGAGTTGGCAGCACTGGCGGTACGCAGCCCTCTGGGATCCCCTTCTCCCCCCACCCTGCCGCATGAGCCTCCATCCCCTCTGCTGCACTCTGTCTCTGAAAATGGAGGATGCCAACAGCTTCACAGAAATGTAGAAGAACCCTTATCATGGACAAATATGCTGAAAAAAATAAATTTATCCTAAAGACAGTCTATTAGAGAGACTCTTCCCCCATTATACCTCTATCCCAACTTTAAGTGATGATGTTGCAGAGTGTTCAACATCTGTATAGATGAATATAGGGTCTGATTCTACCAATAGTCCTCCATATGCTCTGATCTGCACCCAAAAATGCCATGTACCAAAGTATAATTCAAGATGGAAGTAAAAGTTGAGGGTAGGGGTCATGCAGTTTTTAAAAACAGGTTAAGGGAAGAAATGTTCATGAGAGGTTTTTGTTAAAGTTGGGGAAGAACAGAACCATTTCTGGACTGGAGAAAGTAAGGCTTTTTGACAGTATATCAAGTCAGGAGTGATGAGAAATCAGCAACTGTGATAAGATAGGATCAGCAGCATTTGATGGGAAAGAGGAGGAAAGGTCTTCAAGACTATGAGTGTTCATTCAAAATAAATGGGGAGCTGTTGTCCTAAATGCAGCTTAACACTTACAAAATACTAAGTATATAATATGTAGGATAGTCAGCCATCATGGTGCTTTATATTGCTAATGCTAAGTTTTACTTTCTAACCAGCCTTTGTCTTTTTTATTTTGATTTTAGCGCTCAAAGCATGTGCTGTGTATGGATGTGATCCAGTGACCACTACATGCCAAGAATTGGCTGATGGGATAGTAGAGTGCCAGTGCAAAGAAGGGGCATTCAAGAAGAACCTGGAAGACAGAGTTTGTTCATGTAAGAAATGTGCAAGTTTTATAAGTGCTGCGGATGGGTTAATTCTTCCTCAGTTACACTGTGTATCAGGGCCATTAAGAAAAAAAAAAAGATGGATTTCAGGCTGGGCCCCTGCAGCTCTGAAAAAAACAAGTGTGAAGGCCCGGATTAAGCAATGAGCATTTGCTTAAAACTAAATGAGAGGCAAGAATATGTGCCTAAAGCCATCGTGGCTACAACATCTCTTTAACACTACCTTAAAATGAAGCACATTTTTAGTAACTGCATTCCAGTTCAGTAAAATGCACAAGTATATGACTAAGTTTAAGCTTCTGGATATTACCTTTGAACTTAGTGAGGGACTACTTACTTGAGTGCTGTGCATGGGCAGGACCTCAGGGTCTAAATCACTGAATAAATAACAGACTCACATAGCCCTAGAATAGCTAGATAGGCTTCTCCCCTTGCAAGCGCTTCAGGGGCCTGTGAGAACGTGGGACCTGATGGTGCATGCCAGTAGTTCACAAACCACAGGCCTTTTTCATGTTGACAGTGTTAATGAATCAGAGCTCCCTTCTTTTCCCAGCAGGATTTGGTATTATTATGTTGCCTGCCTGCCTGCTGATGTCTTTGGGGTCTGAGGTTCCCCCCATATCCGCTTTATTCACTTCCTCATCACATCTCAGGCAGCCATCAGCCTGGCTACTTCCCCTAATCCTACTTCTACCATTTTATTGCCAGGCTGCCTTGGGTTTTCAAGCTGGTATGTCTTGCTGCATACTGCACACCTTGGCAACTCTGCTGTCTAAGCCAGCGTTACCAATCCACCGCATTCACAAACCACGAGAACTTAAAAATCACAAAGTTTTCAAGATAATAAACATGGTGTCTTTAGTTACCATTAGTTGTTTTAAACTTCAAGGCTTCTCTATATGCCTTCTCTTCCAGTCCTGGGTCTAGCACTGACAGAGCGCATGGCAGAGTGCAGTTATAGAAAAGTGCATGGCTTGGGAGCAGCCCCTATAGCTCAGACCGGAGCCCAGAGTCTCTCCCAGAGCTATCTTTAACTCCCATGAGATGAAAAGCCTCTGCTGAGTCCTGGGATGCTCTAAGCTATGCACTCAGTGCACTCAAGAGGAGTGAGTGGATGGGGTTTATTCTCTCACAGCTGGATCCATGGTCCAGAAGGGAGCCCTATTAAGGTGCCTATGAATTACAGTCATGTTTTCAAGCTGTTTTCTCCAGCTGTGATGGCTAAAAACTTTATTGCTATCATTTTAGCTTCACTTTGCCAAGCAATTGAAGTTCTTACATAATAGATGGCTTCCAATATCTGAGGCTTTAGCAGCCACACCAGGTATTGCAAATTGTATGGATGGGCTTCTCAGGAGTCCAGCCACAGCTGGGGAGGAGGCAGTCCTGAGAAATGTCTAGAGCCGCGTGGCTACCGGGGTTCTGGCATGGGGCTGAAATCAGGGAAAGAAACCAAAGATCAGGAGCCGAAGCCCCACATCAGAAGCTTGAGAGAGTCCAGAGACGAGCCACTCATATGATTAGAGGCCTGAAGAAGGAAAGGCTGACAGATATGGGACTGCTCAGCCTGGAAAAGAGAAGATTTTGGGGGGATTTGGTGGCAGCTTACCAATATATCAGGGGAGAGCATCAGGGGCTAGGCAAGCAACTAGTCACCGAAGTGCCCCAGGGGAAAACCAGGAGTAATGGTCATAAACTCCTAGAAGAAGGTTTCAGACTGGATGTAAGGAAAAACTTCTTTATGGTTCATGTGGGATAGACTCCCAGTGGGGGTGCAGGCACCTACCCTGGATCTTCAAAAGGAGACTGGACGCATGTCTTCCCAGGGTTATTTGACCCCAGCAGTCCTTCCTGCCCAGAGCAGGGGGGCTGGACCCGATGATCTCACGAGGTCCCTTCCAGCCCAAAACTTCTATGTGAATGAGACCTAGGATACCAGAAACAAGAGTAGGTAGGAGCCGGGACAGGAAATGGAGGCAAAGCTGGGCCTTAGCGGACTTCACCCAGGTTGAAAGGAGCAGCAGTTTGTTCATTCTGCTATGACGGCCTCTGAGGACATGGCTTGGCTTCATAAGGGTTAAGGGTTTCCTGTGGCATGTGGCTTCTCCCTGTTATTTCATGCTGAGCGTGTGGCTATGCAAATATTTGTGCCTCCTGGGCTAGGCCCAAGAAGGCCATAGTCTTTTGTTTAGTTTGCACCCAGGCATTATGAATGATTTGCTGTGACGTCAGAGCGTTGGTCATTGCCCAGTCACCAGCACATGGAATCCACCCAAATTTTAATTCCTGGCTGTGTTGATGGTCCAAGCAAGGACTGACCTTTTGCTTTGTGCTTCTACTTAGGGTCTAGCTGTATGTGTGCATAACTCTATATACAAAACAACAATATTCCATAGCCTGCCTGGAATTCAGAGTTTTCCAAAGATTACTAAAAGCAACGTGGGTTTTGCCATGCACCTCGGTATTGACTGAGCATGTCAATCGCTACACGTTGCATCATTAAATCCCTATATCAAAATGTCCATTTTCAGGCTTTCTTTAAGGTCACCTTATGTTTTTTCTATTGGAAATGCAGATTGCAACAGCATGTGCACCAGTGAAAACCAGAAACACTGTACTTACAACAAGACGGGTTTTCCAATTTGCAGTTGCCTTCCTGATTTTAAATCAGAAGAGTCAAAATGTGTGCCGTGAGTACTCAGCTGTTTTGTAAGCTTGACCAAAGGCAACACCGCATTTAAAACAGAGTAGACCTGACAATATTGCTGTCTGAAACTATTCAAGTTAAATAACATGAAGTCATCAATGCACGCTGGGCAGATCTGCGGCTTTGTATCAATGGGAGAACCTCCATAGAGGGCAATGGGGATTATGCACTGGGTATCTTGTGTGGGTTTCTCAAAAAAGTGTCTCCTCCAGCGCAGGGTTAAACCCATTAGTGGAACAGAGGGGGAAGCTGCCCACGTTACCAGCCATACAGTCGCTCTGTGAATGGGCTGTGAATCTGGCTCCTTTTAACCTGCCGCTTTCCCTGAAAATGTAATTCTCACATTAGCGAAAGCCTTATTTCAAACTGGCAGCATTAGGGTGAAAAAAATGAAAAGATGTCAGCAATCAGATGCCCCCAAAAAACTTTGATAACCCCAGGCCAAGTTTTCTAGAAGCGATTTATCAATTCAGTCAAGTGATCAGTGCCTCACTTGTGGGTACCCACTTTAAACAATTTGTCCCTTAAGAAAAGAAACCTGATTTCAGAGATGAGCGCTTGGAAAATTGGGTGATATTAAGGGGACTTAAATTGCCTAAAATTGCTGGTCATTTCTGGAAATTTTGGCTAAAGAGATTTTACTTTAAAAAGGTATATTGATGTTCCTCCGTTATTTTTCTTACTTGTAACTCTGCCTAGAGAAACAACATGGATTTTGAGTTAAGATGACAAATGTGAAATCTGTTATGGTGGTGGGATGGTTGACATTAGTGGCTCATTATTTCTTGGTGCTTGCTTGACTTGAATAAAAATTACATCTGTTTTCGTTTCCTATCCCTTAGATGTCCTGTTGGCTATTCTGGAGTAGACTGTCAGAACAGTGAGTAGAGGAGTTTCTAATTGTTTCTTTAGTTAATACCTTTATTATTCTGATGTTATTTTATTTAATGTCAAAAAGATTCTTTCTATTTAATAGCAAGAAGTCCAGCAATGTCTAAGCTGTGGAGCTGCTATGCAGGATGTGCAATAGCAGCAGTTACAGAGACACAACCCCAGCATGTTAATAAAAAAAAAATAGGGAAGGATGAGTGAGGATGCAAAAGTTCTCCACCCAAATAGAGAAAGAAACCAGAAATGAACAGAGAAGAGTGCATCTTCCTAGTGGCGACATGGAACTAATTCACTAGATTTTACTGGCCGATTCTGGTATAACATGGAAAAGGGAGTACAGAATACAGCTCACTCTTTTGTTAGATGTGATGGCTCTGCCGCAGTAAAGCGTGATGGATATTTTATTTTATTGACCACAGTTAGCAGATACGTTCCTGTTCCTTTGCGTTTCTGAACAGCATTCAGGAGGAGTTTGCCACCTCTGAGCATTAACCATGAGCCACAGAGAAAGAGCTGCATGGCTACGACCTGGGACAGTTGGTTTTTCTGTCGCTCTGCAGGCCATTGCACAAGGGGAAACACGGCAAAGAAATGCCATGCTATATAAGTGTATAAAAAAAAAGAAGCTTCCCCACAGAATTTCCCCACTCAATTTAGCAAAGCTATGATTTCTACCGGAGTATTACAAATGTCACTCAACTTGGTCTCACAATTTTTGATGGAGATAGGGTAATGATATGATTTCCATCCTACAGGAAGAGAGTTAAAATAGATTAAACGACTTGCTCATAACCACATGATAGCCCGGGGCATAACAACAGACTGAACCCTTAAACCCAGGCCTCAAGATGCCCAAGCCTGTGATTTTATTACAAGTCCATCCTATTTCTGGTGTGTGGACGCAAAGTTTTAAAATGCAGAGTAGAGCAGATTGAAACTTTCTGTTTCGCCACAACGTTTTTCAAGGAACATGAGGGGGGGAAATAGCATTTTTTGCCCTACTTTTTTCAATTTTTTGTCAAAAAGTGATTCTTTCTTTTTTTCTTCATAAAAATCTGGAAAATATTATCCAAGCAAGGGGGGTGTGGGGGGGGTGGGAATCATTCTTCTCCAGAGTAGATATTCTTTGCAGCCCTCTGCAACTTCTCTAACCTTCTCCAGCCCCTAGCCTGAGGCTGGTGTGTCAGCATAAAAAGAAAATAACAATGTAATGAGCAGGGACACGAATGAAAATGAAAGGCTGTAATCCAGGCTAGTCAGTAGCCCTGGAACCAGTCTTGTGCTGGGATCTGGTAGCCTGCAACGTATGTAGGGTCCCACTCACTTCAGTGCAGCTCTGATCTAGGTAGTGATCCCAGTTCATGGTGAGGACACTGCTGATCACACTCAATGACCTAACAATTAATACACAAAGAAAATATGTGTTTTGATGGGATTTTACTCCAAAATGTATTCATTTATTTTTAAGTGAAATGAAAGGCACTCACGTTTTCAGTATTCACTATGCATTTTTCATTTTCCTCTTTCTTTTTCAGATTTCCTATTGATCATTATAATATTGGCTTCCGTACTTGGGGCTGCTATCCTCATCTTATTTGTAGTGGTCATTTACTTATCAGTGAGGTACAATAATTGCTTTGTGGTTATTTAAAAGGAGAGGCTATGCTTATGGACAGAATGAGACAGAGTTTCACAGGGAAGGGGAAGATGTTTCAGGCTGCACATGTGGGTGTGGACACATATGGACATACTAAATGGACACGTCATTACTTCAATTTTGCGGGAAAATTTGTATTAGTAGCTGTGTGTTTATTCCCCTCATGGGCAGGTTGTGAGCTCCCCTAATAAATATGTGCTCACATGGTTGAGAATTTGAGCCTGGAGGGCTGCCTGGTCTTCAAAATATGTGCATAGGACTGAACTGGGCTGTACATGCTTAATGCCTGTAAATTCATATTCTTGCCCCAAACCCAAGAAAAATTAAACCAAAAGGGCTAAGTAAGGGAACTGAGAGAGCTTGGACTCTGCAGCTCAGGTTCAATAGCTTTGTGGACCTCCATGGTAGCTATTCACCAGTCTAAGGGCAAGAATGGCAGCCATGGTCTTTGTACTCCTTCTATGGGATTCCCAGCTACTGGATACGGAGAAGCAGTGACCCAGTAGCCTCTTTCCCATGCCAGCTCCAATGGACCTTACCTACTTTTTGGCCAAGCAGGATGTCAAGAAGCCACTCAAGCACAGTCACTTTGCCCTTGCTCTCACCCCACCCTTGGAGTGAGGCAGGACAAAGGTCTTTGGGAGCCTGTACATGTGCAGCAAGGCTGCTCCAATGTGCTGTAATGACAATGGGCTGGAGCAGACTCTATTGAGTCTGCTGGAGCATGGTAATTACTGCACCCCAGCGAGCTCCAGCATCTCGTGTAGTAGCACGCCCACACTGAAAAATGGTGGTGGGGGAGTTTTAACTAAAGCTCGTTTGATGAGCTTTAGTTAAAACACCCCTGCTGCCATAATACACAAAACAGTCAAATTATAGCCCCCCGCTCCCGGAGCATGTGTATAAACACCCATTGTGAAAAGTCCTTGTAAGGTGGGCATATCTCACAAAGATGGGCAAAAGCAATTGGCAGCAATAATGGCTTTCACTGCAGGCTTCACAACTGAACTGAAAGAACATGGAAAAAGGGGGTGAGAAAAACTTAAGAGGCAACTTAAAAATAAAGCTGCTTATAAGATGTTCTCTTTCCATTAAAGGACAACAAGGAAATCCAATCCAGAGAAGAAACATCTGCTAAACTTGAACAAGCAAAATGCAGAAGAACTATTCAATGGAAGTTCTGGCAGCAACGTCGAGCCAGGGGACAGAATCTTCCCCAGAATCAAAACTAATATGGGTCAAGCAAACAAAGGATTTGAGGGAGAAAACCCTTACAGAGCAAACCCACCAAATAGGAACTACCTTCCCCAGAAGGATTACGACT